AGTTAATAATACGGAAAGCCCTCAGACAGGGTCAGTTTCCGACCAAACTTTCTCTCTCTTATCAGTTTTTTGGCTGTCATTAATGCATAAATGTAGAAGAAAGTGCAGGTAACCCTTTGGAATTCACGGAAGTTCCCCAAGAATCCGTCCAGCGATCCATAGCAATATTTTACCATTCGTTCAAAAACGACCGTATCGTCAACATGAGCCATGGTTGGAATGAGCGTGGAAGTGATCGTCGTCATCAGGTTGCAATATTTATACCTTCCGGACAAAGTCAATTAAGGTTAATTAAAACAAATTAAATTTTAGCAAATCACTTCGAATCACCCAAAAGCAAAATCTGTTCCATGTCAGCATCAATATTTTTAAAATACATCTAAAAATCGATCGATTTTAGAAATCTTAATAGTTGGGATGCCACACCACTACCCAAGAATACACAAAGGAGAGGCAAGTGAGTTATACGTTTTGCAGAAGCGTTGGAGGTTGGATACGGAGTAGCGGCCTACAGCTGCTCTTCTCGACCGGACGGAGAGAGACATAGTAATTTATTATTCGCGAAGGCCATAGTTGCTCCCCCAACTGCAATCTCAATACCTAGGCTAGAACTGGCTGCAGCGGTCTTGGCCGCGAGGGTGGCGAAGATGCTGAAAAGGTGTTTCCACTTAATCAAGTGGACCGTTACGTACTGGACAGATTCCGTCATATTTCGTCACTGTGTTAACGAAGTCCGGAAGCGCCTCTGCAATTTGTTGCCAACCGACTAGCCGTCATCCAGGGAGAAACTGATGTATTGCAGTGGAGATACGTGGAATCTGGTGGCAATCCAGCAGACTACTGCTCCAGGGGCGTGTTGAACTTGGAAAAAATAAAAAACAGAATACACGGTTGAGCTTCTTTGGCGGGACAGCCTAGCGAATGTTCCGACACTCGGATTCCCCATGTTTCTACAGACTTATTGGAAACTGAGAGGGCCGTTACGTTAGTCGCTGCTTCAACCGACATTCTTCTGCGGAGGTTGCATTGTTTCTCACGATGGACAAAGGTGTTGAGGGTAGTTGTGTGGTGGACCCAGTTCAAGCGATCGCTTGTCATTATGAAAGGACTCTGACCAAACGATCCGTTCAATTTTGGACCCATCGTTCCAGCGAAACTGAAAACAGCAGAGACCNNNNCTCCCTGTCGGAGATTCAGTGGTTGAGCAAGGCGAATTATGATTCTGACAAACGTTTATTACTTCGCAACTCTCTCCACAGGCTGTCCCATATTGATAGATGGGTTTCTGAGGTAGATTGACTAACTCTAAATTGGATTTCACTGACAAACACTCCATCGTCTTGTCCAACAATAACCATATCACTCATTTATTTATAACATCAATCTTTACAGATACGGCGCCAAATGGGTGAACGAAAATATATAGGCACAAAAGCGGAGAAAATAAAACAGTCAAACTCGAGGGGTAAAAATGTTTTGTTTGTTTATCGCGCACCATTTTCAGATTGTTTCGTTATTGATTATTTTGGGGATTGCAAACGGGAGGGGATGCATTGGCGCCACTGACTTCGGTTCGATGCCTGGTGAACCGGGAAACCCCAACGGAAGCCAGATCCGAGCACAATCTCTTCGAACCTCTGCGCCACGTCATAGTCTGCCCACCTTGCTGTTTCTTCCAGCCTAGACCGATGCCTGCAGATAGTGCACGGTGTGACAGACGGTGCTTAGGCATTCAAAGGACGGGCAACAAGGGTCACGCCGGCGAATACGATCCGCCGTCACTTTTGGATAGTAAAGGAGAGAGCTACAGTTAAGCGCCTCGTGGGCAACTGTCTATTTTTTCGACGACAGAACGATACCCTTAGTAAACAACAACAACTTGTTAAGGACGCCATAAGTTGATGGCCTCCTTACCAAGTTCCCGAGTACGAAAAGGTTGGTTGCCCTTCGCCGAAAACGGAGGTGATTAATTTGGACCACTGTGGGTGAGAAGAAAGACATCGACGGACAAACGGTATGGTTGCCTGATTACCTGCCTCCAAGCACGAGCGTTGCATGCAGAGAGTGACTACAGTTTATCGATCGATTCCTTCCATATGGCCTGGCAGAGATTCGTGGGTAGGCGAAATAATCCATCGAAGATGTTCTCCGATAAAGGATCCAACTTCGTCGGAGTTGAACAACTGGCAAACCACGGAACGACACGTTGCAGTATCCTGACGACTGTGATAAGTTAGGCTTCCCAGATTTGCGTTGAGTAGTGGAATAACTTGGATTACTTCACAAATTTAGCGGATCTTAGTATTAACTAAGGTTCGTATTTTTCTTATTCACAAAATTTTCCTCTCCGGCAAGTGTTTTCTCTGTTTTCGCTTGGTTCTGCCTGTTTTGCAGTTTTTCACTGTTAAGGTCAAGCTTTTGTCTCCCACTGAAAGCTTTATTTTTTTTTATTGTGCATACTCATTCTCATTCTTGAAGAAAGCACTTGCCTAATGGCTTGCCGGTACGATCCTAACACATGCGGTAATAAGGCCCGCGTGAAAGCCGTGATTTCTGGTGTCCAGTGCGATAGGTGCCAGGATTGGTACCACCAGCAATGTTCGACCTTAACCAGGGAAATTCTCTCGAGCCATTCACATACTACTTATGGTGAAGTATATATGTATAATGTATGGCAAATTTGTTCTGGATATTCTCAATACATACTCCATCTAGTTCCCTGATGCTGGATTGCGCCATTGAGAAGAACACTAATAGGGGTCTCGTACGCTATCTGTAGAGGGTAGTTATAGTTTCGCGAAGGGTAAATTTGCTGAAAAATCAGTTCATGGCACGTTTCGCCTGCGCTACCTGAGGGGTATAACGTACCATAACATGCAGGAGTAGTTTGGGTTTAAGTCGTGAACAGAAGAGAAATGAGCAATAGAAATACGGTTTATGGTCAAAGTGCCCTGGGGCACTTGACACTTAAGATAAAATATTGCTTTTTCAGTGCAGAAATTCGTAGACCGAACACCAACAATCAAGTTTAAGATCTGGTGAAATATTGACCAGAACATTTATAAGATTGCTGAGTGGGAAAGTGTAGAAAATCTTGATACAGTCAGCGAACATGGACGGGGTTTCCGTGGCGGATAGAGCGGGAAATGTCATCTGTATACATTAGGAGAAATAACGGACTAAAGATTTTGTGTTGCATAACTCCGTTAACCCCCAAGTCGCGGGAGGGAGGAGGAACCGGTAACTGTAAACAAATCGGGTATGGTTTGATCAGCATGAAAGTAACGATTATCTAACCTAAAAGAACGGTATTCGGTAAAAGGTTCTCAATGATTAGGGCAACAAGTTACTCGCTTTGAATGAACATTTTCATCTCTCCTTTGTGATTCATTACAGAAGTGTGCCACATAGTCACAAGAATGCTCATTTTACGGAAACCGAATGAGTGGAATAGTAGACGGCTCTAGGCCGGATCGGGAACGACATACAGTGCCGTTTGAACAGGAAAGGAGACTTTGGGGTGAAATCTACGATCAAGAAATATTTCATTGCTTTTCAACAGGAGACAAATGCCCTAATCTGCACAACAAATAACTACAGACGGATAATTCTCAAAAACTATCTCCGCAATTATTGATGCGTACCGCTCTGGTCCGAAATGGACCGGTTTTCATGAGATGAGAGTTGACCACTGGCGGTGTCAGTAGACTGCAGTGCAACTAAATTTTCAAATGATATTCCGCTTGTACGGTTTGAGGTCATATGTCCAACTTTCTGATACAATCCGATGGAGCAGTCGGTTGTAAAAATAATAGGATATACTGGGATACCGACGGGAAACAATCAGTTGGTTATGATTTCTCAATGCGGAACGGAGCTACAAGGCATGTGAGAAAATTGTATAACTTCAACCAGACAGCGTTCAGTGTGAGCCAAATACTCATGTGCGAATTACATTTAACGTTTGCGGTTGTCCGATTTCCTCCGGTGTTTCGTTGATGCAATATACAATTTCTCTATCTGGCACAGGACAGTGGAGACACTAAAAACCAAACAAACAATTCCGACGACAATAATATGAATCATTCCCCTTCATATCAGATCGTTGAAGGACCGAATGTGGCAAGGGAGAAAAAAAATGAAGACGGAAAATTCATTATCCTCTTTCTCTCTATCATATCACAGTGAGAAGCACACGGAGAAATACGGTAGAGATAAGAAGTATGGTGCACAAGAGAGACATGGCGGACTAGAAATACAAAATAAACTAATAGGATAATCTCGACAGGTTATATGGGTTTCTATTATGCAACGCTGGAACAGATAAACGGAATGAAAGGGACTTGTAGATTTTGATTAGGATAAAGGAAGCCAGGAAACGAGCATCGGAACCCGATGAGATCAAAGACAACGAAACGCAACGAAGGCAGACGAGTATCACACAGGGGCAGTGGGAGCGGGAGAACTAAGCGAACAAACATGAAAAGCCAAATAAAAGGGGGTAACATGTGTGTATGTAAACGTTAGAATAGCTTCTGGACTGAACACCAGAAGAAGAAAATACATGTTCTGTTCGGTAAATACAGCAGAGTGCAAAATGCATCAGTCTATGTACAGTAGGGATGCAGTCCGGGCTGAGTCACTGGAAGATCGGAAGGGAAGTGGGGGAGGGAGGGGGGGTAGATTTGACCGCAAGAACAATGATGTGTCTGTTGTAGACCGAAAGCATAATCAAGATACGGAACTGGATAAAAACAAGTGTGTCAAAAAAGAAAGCAATGTCAAAGAGGAATGTGCGATTTTTGTGACTGCGAGAAAGAGAGAATGCGCGACAAATGGAGAACAGTGAAACAGGAACGCTTCTCACACCACTTACATGATCAATACATGCATATCAGTGAATAGAAGACCGGGGAAAAGTGCGCACAATTCTGGGGGTCGACACGAAACACCAACAAGACAGAATGTAGCAGAATGGTCGTTTGAGCACGGGGGCAAATCTAGTCAGCGATATTCAAAATTGGCTCACGTTTTGACTCCAGTATGTCTGTGCAAATAGAGGAGAAAGTGGGAAGAAACATGGACTGATGAAATGTGGGCCGAACAGTGAGTTTTTTTTCGGTGATTGGCTAATTGATCCTGTAAACGTTGCCCACCATTACCTATCGGCAATGAGTACTGAAAGACGCCGTGACTAGAGGCACACTGAAGGTGGACAATTCGGGTCACACTTTATTATTTGTGCTTGATATGAATCCGGTTGTAAAGTAATTGTACCAAGATTAGATTGGAACGTAAAACTACACGTTATCTTGACTCACGAGCACCACAATGCACTGCTTTTGGGTTATATTCACCCTGAAAAACTGTATGCAGCAAATCGATGTGTTTAGGGTGGAACACGAAGCACGTTTTTCCAGACCGCAATAGTTCAACACCGTGATGAGCATCCCATGCTGCACATTCAACAAAGCATCCACTCCAAACTTATACTATCGTCAAAGAACAAAACGACAGGCGGTGTTTGCTTAATTGGTATCCCAAAGACGAGACTTCTTCTGCGAAGTGCGGAAAGTATGATAACTGTCTCATCTTTTATTATTCAGACAGCCAACAACCAGTTGTTCCGTGTTGGCAGTGAAAGCTTCCAAAGATGGATCTTATTTTCTCAAGTGCATCCCATTTTAGCTTCAGGCAATATGACCACAGTTGCTACGAAATGTTTCCAAATGATTGAAATATTAGCCGCAATTGTATCCGTGAATCGCCATTAGTTTTGTAAACAGAAATAATTGGATAACCCAGAGATCACGGTGAAAAAAGTTTTTGGTGGTCGGTAGGTAATTGAATTTGGATTCAGTTTTGCTGTTCATTGCTAGTTTGTACTCTGTATTTCAGTTTCAATGTCAACACCTTTTTACCCTTTTTTTCTCAGGAACAAAACGAGTGGTTGACTCAAGACAATCACGGCCTGTGTGAAATATGGCACATCAACTCTTTTCGAACCTAAGCCGAAATAGTCTAACCAGGGGATTATGTCCACAAGCACACCTAATCACGGTTAGCACCTTATCGTGTCTCGCACTCCGACTGAAGTTAGTTGTCGTCTAAAGTTGAATCAGTCAACCATCAAAGATAGAACGATTCGAGTGACAAACAACCAGACCGGCGTTGAGAATTAAGCAAAATGTCGTGGTCGCACTAAACCACATTTATTCGTGCTGCTAAACACGCCTACGTGATGTTTGAATCACTCAGGCCAACCTTTTTGACAGTTCAGTTAAACGATCGATCGATCGATCCGAAAACCTGTATCTGATGCTGATTCATCGTGCTCGAGATGGGGTATCACACGATTCTATGGGTCATTTCACTGATATTAGTCTTCAGAGGCAAACAGGTACATATGCTCGGGTGTGCCAACCGCAAAACTCGACTACAAAATGGACTGTCGTGATTTCAGTCCTCAACTCTAAGGAAACCATGTGCGACTTTCGGCAGTGCTCGGTACTGGTGAATTGCACTTGCTAGACTGCACCCAGAACAACCCCCTGCTGTCTGTGTTGTAGTTAGCGCATGGATGCATCCGAGCATGCACAGATTGTAGGGACTCTGTATACATTTGCGCTTGTGCACCNGTGCACCAGAGATAGGAGTTCAGGCCACGTGGCAATGATCCGCTATATTTTCCTCACTGATCGTGTTTGTATTAGTGAAACTGAGAACTTAACTGGAGCCGGCTGAGTATACAATTACCTTATACATAAGAATAATACTTTAGGACTATCGGTTTCAAATGGGATAAAACTGGAAAAGGAATAGTGGGATGGGGTAAATTAGCCCGAGCTAATCGCACCCGGTGCGTGATAGTACAGTTGCCAAGGGATTCACTCCAACCGCAATCGTTTCCCTCCGGACAGACCCGTAGCCAGTAAATTGTTTCAAGGGGATGCCACCAATCTGCAGGGATTGCTCAGGTTTGACAAATGCCCAATATACATAGTCAAGTATGTATCCTGTTACGGTTACGCACTGAACTTACCCAACAAAATGCCAGCAGCAGGAATGCTTAGGAATGTCAACGAGGCATTCAGCCCGATCGACGTTAGTCGTCTTCGTTCCTTGAACCAGGACCAAGCCTGGCCAAACGATCGTCGATGACCTTCGCGACTACTGAACAGACAGCCGTCCTCCGGGTCTCCGTCTTCTGCACAGAATGTGGGAGGTTAAAATCCATGTCATCAACGAGAAAATTTTAAACGACGGGGTTCGGATGTGTGAATGTACGTGCGTGGGACACGGGGTAGCTTAGCGCTAACCATAGTGAGAAAACTGAATCGTGCGGGCGGGGAGGAGCGTTTTGTACCGAGGATTTACATGTATTACGCAACAGCCCAACGGTAAAATTAACTTCATTCTCTTATGGTAGAAACACGAGTGATTGTCGGGTAACTCGTAACTGACGGGTTAGTGAATCTGCCAATGACTGGATGCTATTCGGAATGAGAGAAGCAAACGAAGAAGTATGACAGAAAATTAGCAGTCACAGAGTGTGCTACAAGCAGGGTGGAGTATGATGGACGTGTTTAGGATGATTGTGCTTTCATTAGTAATAAAATGAAATTTCGATGCTTGTACAAGAGAAGCGCGAATAGTAGGAAACGCAGCTTGGTGTATTTAGGGGACAACAGTTACTTCCTCAAACAGCTCTCCCCCCCCCCGCCCCGTTCCACAACGGAGTACGAAAGTTACCAACTCCGAAC